CTATTGGTGTTTTGTGGTTTGATATGCATGTGACAAACCGGCCCCGCATAGGCTAAGCATGGCGGCGCGAGGGATTTCAGAACCCAATGTTTGTTTGGCCTTTTCCACTCAATTGACCTTCACTGGCTGTGCCGCACGCAACGGGAACATTCAGCACAAATACTAGACTGAGCTGAGCTCCAACTCCAAGGGCATCTCATGTAAAGCCACGCATGCAGAAATAACGGACAACAAAAGTGAGCAAGCATCGAGGGTTGTTTTTCTGTTGCTGTATAAATCCAGAGTCTCCACTGATGATGCCATCATTTCAAATCTCAGAATCTTCTGGACATATGCAAACAATTCAAATAAATGCAAAGTGACACTGAATTTAAGTTTTTTTGAGACTCAAAACACAAATAACTTAATTTGTCTTTCCCCATTGAAATTGAAATATCATCAATGCGTTCCAGCCCAACATTATGCTCCTTGGCCACAAGGGGGTAATATAATACAGCTCTGCAGACATATAGGAATTTGTTTACATTTGACTTAGCAAGCTGCAATAATATTACTAATTTTTGCAGAGGATGAAGAAAACATGTCTGAGTATTCTGTCTGTCTACATGTGTTGCTGCACTGTTTGTGCTTAAATATCCATTGCTAAAAGGTCCCATTCCATCAAATCAAAAATTTTCCACAATTTGAGGGTTTAAGTTTGACATCTACTCAATTTGTCGATGGTCTGCAATAAATGCTTGAAAAAGCAAAATCAGCCAATCAGATGTCAGTGTTGTTGTGATGTGCTTGTATCTACACACTACTCAGTTTTCAAGTAGATGACCACTTCATAGCTGGTACACGACCACTCACCTTGGGAAAAATAGCTGCCCGACAAGCTGAAACTTTGCGTCACCTGTCATGCCAACCTCTGAGGAGTTGAAGAATAAATGGCTTCAATTTATTTTTTTAGTAATTGTCACGGATTTCGGAAGCAGAACCGTGCTGCGTTCGGCCACATTTAGTGAAGGATGACTTTGTAAGAATCATCTCTGTTGTCTATAAACTTCAACTGGCCGTGGCAATAAACAGCTTCAAGCCTTTTTTTTTTCATTTTTAACAAGAATTGTTCACTTTCTCCAAAACTGTTGATTGCTGCGAAGTGACTAGAGGTCGCTGCCACCATACAGCGCCAGGATCTCAAATTCTCAATTTTATAAAATAACCGAAAACTGAATCAATAACAAAGACAAATAACTTGAACCCGCCCATGCTTTTCTGTTCCTTAATGTACTCTCACTGGACTGAAAATGCCCATTGAATGTCAATGTACTTCTACAGCACAGTTTATCGACCCCCCAAAAAGTACTTGTGAGTATGTTATTGGGCTTTTACAAGATAAGTTGCTCAGGTGAGTTGTAAACCAGGTATCAGGTATCTTTCTTGCATAGTTAAAACCAGAGAGACATGACAGGAGTGTATATGTCTACGCAATGCCAGCTTGAGTGGGGACTCCATTTGGCTAATTGTGGCTGCTGACCTGTAATTGCACTGGCCACTGACAAGCCAAAGCCTTTAGTGACACACGTGAACACTTGCTCAGCAGCGGTGAGGCTGCAACGCAATCCTGACAGTCCACAGCATCCAGCAGTCATGCACACAGGAGACACATTTGCTGCTGACTGCAAACATACGGCGGAAATGGAAATCAGCCAACACAGTGGTTATGACACTACATTGTCGTGAAAAGGGAGGTAAGCGGCTGGCAGACGGATGATCACAAATAAATGTTTCATTGCTGTTCCAGTAAAATATTTTATAAAACCTAAAAATAGGCAGAAAATGCAAATGTGCTCACATTAAGAGGGAAGCTGCTATAAGTGTTGTCGCTCGCTATGAAATATAAGGTGGAACATAGGAATGAAATGGTTTACAGATCAATATTAATACAGTGGTAATGAGAGCAGAACAATTTGTCAAGATCAAATTGACATTGTAATTTAGTAGAATGCAATTTTCAAAACGCAAAGGCTTCAGTGTGGGGGGAAAAAACGCTGCTTCTTTTCGGTCCGCTGGTAGGCTTTATTCTTATAACATGATAAGTTAAAGAGGTAAAGCCACAGACGTGGAAGCAATTATACCCTTGATAATCTATTAAGAGTACAGTGTTCCTAACACTAGCGTGAAGACAAAATATCAGCTAGGAATAAAAACCCCTCTCCGTTCACCAAAAAGTGTTGTAATTGCCAACAGATATCATAACACTACGACAAAGCACTACATGACACCCCTCAACTCACGTCAACATAGTTCAGTGGTACCAAAAGGCCACAAGATGGCGCCAAAGCAATACTTGTGCAGGATAGTGCTCCGGGCTGAGCACAAAAACAATGAGTAGGTCCTTTTTCAGCAAATAATGGAGAAAAACTGCGCAAATAGTTAAATCCCTAATTTGCAGTGCTGCGCAACTGCAAAGCAATAATGATTACGCCAACATCTAATGCAAACTACAACCACAGTGAAAATGTGGTGTTAAATGCACAATCCTCATGTTCAAACTGCAATAAATGGCATAAACTAGATATAGTGACAACATATATTCCAACAGTGAAAACACAACAACACTTCCTAGAGAATAAAAATAGATATTTTGCACTGTAGTCCAGCGACACCCACCCATTTCCTTTCTCTGTTCGTAAAAACAAGCCCAGAAAATGCCACATTATTATGTGGTTTTAACATGTACACACTCGGTTATATAATGACAGCGAATATGAACTCTAACCCTTTAATACTCTTCTCTGCTCGCCAATGACGTTCTATCGGCTGATTCAAACTACAAGATACGCGAAAGGGCGTTTATTGGGACCTTTAAGGCAGAAAAATAACAGTTGGCAATACAGTATTATAAACAGTAGCTGTCAGGTCCCATGAAGGCAACAGAGGCTAATTGACAGCTGCCCTCGCGCAGGACTTTTAGCTTCCCCGAAACCGACATGCCAACCGAACGCTCGTTAATTGCCAACGGCCTTTAACGTTTTATTAATTCACAAACTATACGAATAAAATAGCTTTTCGTTACCATTTGTCGCCGTACATGCTCCGTCGACGCGTCCCGAGATGTCAGTCGGCTCCCTGCGTGTCGTTCTCAGGCCACGGATTTGCTAGCCAATCAGATGAGGCGCGTGAGGTGTTACATCACTTCCGGACTCCCCACGTTCCATGTGCACCTGTAAATAAAACCCAGCTCAGTAAAGAAGTCTTCCTCGCACAACAAAATGTACATGTGTGCGTTGGATCTATTTTTATTAGTATTTTTCGTTTGTGTTATCTAATTAAAACAAACAATTGTACTGCGATCTATCAACTCTATTCCATGAGTTTTCTTCTATGCTTGTGACTGCCATGGTGGTTGTTTTTGTTTTTAACAGATTTTCCAATTGAGTCATATTATAGTACATACATACATTTTCTTTCATAGCTGTCAGTTCTTCTCGAGTCTCAGTTGTTCATTTAACTTTCTTAGAGTAAATGTACGCTTTTTGTTGTGATCAGTGGAAAAAAAACATGCCAATGTATGTTTGTGACTTGATTGTTTGTAAAAAAAAAAAATCTCCTTACAAGATTGTATGTTAAAATAACCTTATTTGCAGCTACGGGAGCCTCATTAGGTTTTCAATACCACACACAGCACAGCCAAACATGGGGCAATCTCACTCACGAGGTTCAAAATATTTTGGCAGAGGCACATGTTATTACGCAGGAGGAATGAGGGTGTGGAAACCGATACTGGCCTCCTCTAGCTGCACCATTGCATGTTTACACGAAACTGCTACGTGACAGGTGCAGTGCACAAAAACAATCACAAATGTGCTGGGCTGGCACAATTTTACATTGTGCGCAACAGACAAACTGTCAGAATATTAGGTACACTTGCACGATAAAAGGAGAAGAGATTAATCAAAATTACAGTCATTGAAACTGTTATTTTTGTCTGCGATTGGCTGGCAACCAGTTCAGGGTGAACCCCGCCTACTGCCCGAAGACAGCTGGTATAGTCTCCAGCACACCCGCGAACCTCGTGAGAATAAGCGGATGAGAAAATAGATGAATGTTATTTTTGTATTATGTTGTGGTTGTAGTTATCACAGAGTAAAAAAATACTGGTAGTAGTTACACTGATACAGGGTAGCGTACTTCTACACTACTGAAAACTGCAAACCCCTAATAAACAATTCAAAATAGTGCAGAAATTAAGAAGCATACATAATCATTCTGGCATATGAAATATCGTGGCAATCAGCAACTCTTTGTGCTGCAAAAGGTCTTTTCCGTTTCAAAGAAGAGCACAATTAAATTCCATTGAAATTGATAATGATGTGTCTGGTAAGTGTAGCACAGGGTTAAGTTACCTTTGAAAGTTTGTGCTATTATGCTACACACCAATGTGATGTGCTACTTCCGAAATAGCACATTTGCTCAAATTACCTTTCATTTTCGTTTTTGCTATTCGTCATTAATTGTATTTATCCATGTGAAGACATCGAGGTTGTGAATTAATAACTAATTGTAATTGCCAACAATGAATTAACAAGGTAAGAACGATAAACATAACTCCATAGTTGTATTGCTATAAACTCAATTTTCACATCATCACTTCAGCATTGTGAAATCACAATGTCCGATGGTGAGCTATACAGTATTTAGAAACAGCCCATGGGCTACTGAAATGGTCCTTGTGGGAGATCGCTTGCCCATGGGTTCCATGTTGGTGACCCCTGGTGGCACCTTGGTAAACAAAAAAATCTAATGCTGCAAAATGTCTTTTCTATCATAAGAAATATGTATTATTATTAAAAAATACAAATAAATGCTTAAGACATGTCCGGTACATGTTTCATGCATGAGCACCATCGTATACAAAAAAAAAAGAACAACAAAAAAAAAATGACATCTTCAGTCAGTGTAGCATACAGTATATGAGCCACAGTATTCAAAAGAAGGTGACAAAGATGACAAAATAGTGCTCTGTTTATTTATTTATTTAAAAGGCTTGATTAATTTAAAGTAACAAAAATCATAAACTCACACTAAAATACAATGGCAGCAGGAACACATTTAATATACTGTCCCATCTAGAAGTAAACATTCAAGTAGTCTTTGCAGAAGTTCTCATTCTTTGCAACTCCTCTCCCTGTAGTTATTTTTCTTTGTGACATACTTGCTCAAATTCCCATATAGACTAGACAATAAACGTGCACATGAGAACTGGATTGTGTGTGTGTTTGAATCAAAGTTATTTACCTCTAAGCTGCAAAACGAACTCAAAACTCTCAGAATATAGCATCCTTCCCAACAAAAGACTGACAAATAACCCCAAAACAAACATAGTGCCTCTAGAGGCGCTCAAGGTTAGTGCAGGCATTATACTCGAGTCGACCTCAATTAATTAATTGGCACAATTTACTCTCGACTTATTGTTATCCATTTTCAGGTATGTGGCTTATTATGGTCCAAGATAATGACTAGTTGTTGGACATCTGTTTATGGATTATGGAGCGATGTATGTTAGGGAGTCAGCTGTGAGCAACATACAGGTGTAGCGCTGAACACCAGAAAGGTTGTGCATGACATTCGAGCGAAATGTAATGATATGAAATGGATATCGACATGAGAGTTATGAATTCCTGTTATACAGCATGGCGACCCGCCGCAGTGAGTCGCTTTGGTCTGAACAAAGTCCGTTTTTGCAGCTCACCTCTTGCCATTGCAGAGAGCCGCGACTGCACGCCACCTGGGAGTGAGAGGGGGTGGGGGG